TTTCAGTGTGTCCCGCCGGTCTGTTCGGCTCTGGCTGTCAGCAGCACTGTGACTGTGTGAACGGGGCTTCATGTCATCCCAGAACCGGACAGTGTCTCTGTCCCGCTGGATTTCACGGCTCTCGCTGTGAGAGAGGTCAGACGTTCATCATCTACACACACACACACACAATCTGCCTTATAGCTTCATGTGAGTGATATCTCCTCAGTTAGATTTTTGCCAAAATAAATCAGCAGGCAAACATCAACAACCCGATCTTCCTTCCTGGTATTGTAGTACTTTTAAAGTTTTCTCACCGGTGAATGACACATGAGGCAGCCTAGCGGTTCCCAATTCCAGTCCTCGCGTATATCGCGTCATATTTTGCATGTCTCGCTTAGTTAACACACCCGATTCAGATAACCAGCTCGTTAGAAGTGAGCTACGTTTTCCGATCGATATGATCCCTACACAGTGTTCATTGCTCCCTACTAAAGTTAGCATTTTCCAAGATCTCCTACTGCACCTTTAAGTAACAATTTTTAAGTCATGTTTTGATTGTTTAAAACTTCATAAAATCATAAAAAATATAAAAGTAAAAATTTAAACCATTAAAACAATTTAATGGACCTGAGCCAAAATGAACTAACAATGATCAGTTGTATTTTAAAGCTTAATAAATACTGTAACAAATGTATTGTCCATTGTTAATGCATTAAATATAGTTAACAAACGGAACCTTATTGTAAAGTGTTACGGTTTGAATAACTCTGATAGACACGTGATTTAATGGCTGTGATTGTGTTTTTGCAGCTGGACCTCCAGAGCTGGACTCCGGACGTTCAGAAGAGAATCAGTCGCAGCTCAACACCTCGTAGCACAACACACACACACACACACACACACACACACTGAGCTCAGTCACAGCACAACTGTGTTTAAGAGCTGTTTGCAGGTTCATCCAGACCCACAGGAGCCTCTTCAGCGATCACCTTCAAACACACAGATGCACTTTACTCAAGCTCACACTTGATCCTTCATCGCTCTTTCAGGGGATTCTCATATCGTCTGTGTTTCAGTACTGTTGTGATGCAGAGATTTGAAAGAGGCTGAATCACATTTGACTGGACTAAACAAGAGAAAAGTGCCTTTCCATTTCATAACACTCTTGTTTATTATAGCTGTTTTTTATTTAATAAAATAAAAGTCCCAGATGGTTTACTAATTTGACACAATCTGTGGTTGAACTCAAACTGTATTTGTTTACCTCTTTGACAGACTGTAACATCTGATGAAACATCTGTGTGGATGTCAGTATTGAACTGTACATGAAGTGACCTTTCACAATGTTAGAAATGGTGCTAGGATGGCCTTTATTAAAGGAGGACCTGTATATGTTAATATTAGAAAACATTCGCAACGGATGCATTTTTAATGCTTTTGATTAATGTTTTGTATAAAGTTTGAATTATTTATATGTTTTGTAAAATATACAATTGTAGATGTTTTGCAAACTTTTTAATGTGTGAACGTCTTAAAGGTTTTACTTGTGCCTCCCTGGAATGCTTTTTTTAAAAAATATTATTACTAAGCATGTGTTATGCATAAATATTTCAAAGAGTTGTGCACTATATTTTTAATTCAGCAAGTTGTGTCTAATTAAAAAATATTATTATTTTTTAAATCCAGGGGCTGGATTTGTGAAACTTTTTTTTTTTTTTTTTTGAATAAAAGACTGCCATTTGCTTATTTTAACATCTTATTTTCTTAAGAAACTCTGTTTGGGTTCAATAATTTTTTTTCCGTTTCTGTCTTTTTGAAAGAAATGAATACATTTATTCAGCAAGGATATATTAAATGTAATCTATCACTTTTATAAAAAGTGATAGTAAAGACTTACTTGTTAGAAAATATTTTAGTCATCAAAGAATCCAAGAAAAAGTATCACAGGTTCTAAAGAAATATTAAGCAGCAAAACGGTTTCCATTATTGATAATAAATCAGTATATTAGAATGATTTCTGAAGGATCATGTGACACTGAAGACTGGCGTAATGATGCTGAAAATTCAGCTTTGATCACAGGAATAAATTACATTTTAAAATATATTCACATAGAAAACCGTTATTTTAAATTGAAATAATATTTCACAATATTATGTTTTTTTCTGTATTTTTGATCAAATGCAGCCTTGATGAGCGTAAGAGACTTCTTTAAAAACATTAAAAATCTTACTGATCCCAAACTTTTGAATGGCAGTGTATATAAAATGTAAGCACTAATGAAAATTTAAAATATGAAGAACAATTGGGGCGAATCAATACATTATTATCATTTGTTTGAATAACATGTAATCATTTAATCAATAAAAAAAAAAGTGTAGTCTGATTTAATTAGATTACGAGCACTTCATTTGTGTCATCTTATATAATCCAGATTACATGTAATCAGTTACTAGCCAGCACTGCAAACCAGAATGCTGACAGCTCCATTAATGTATTTCATAAGAAACCGCAAAAGACAAAGACACAAACAGGCTTTTTTTTTTTCATTGTCATCATTTTATAGTTGTCATTTCATAGATACTGCTGTACATGTCTAAATTCAGATTCAAGCACAATGCAGTCAGCAAATGCCTTTTGATGAAAACAAAAGAACCAAAGGCTGGAGTGATCAGGACCATGAATACTCTTATGTATATATATGTACAAAGGTCAAACTATATACAGATACATCTGACTCGACATACAGTATTTCTCCACAAAGCGTGGAAATGTAGCTTGCCATTGTATACATTTCACAGAATTATCCAAAATGCATATTCAGTGCAAATAATTGCTCTTTGTAATCTTTGTCATCATCATCATCATCGACGTCGTCATCTTCAGGTCAGTACCACCGAAGGGCAACAAAGAATGGTAAAAAAATAAAATCATATTTTTGTCTTTATCGTTGCAAAATATTAATGAAAAATAATCTCCTCGGGAACTAAAGTATGGTACTTGAAAATAATACTTCGACACAACCGTCATCTCTGACCTGTCAATATGGACTGATAATTACAGATTTATAAGCAATTACGCTTTCCCCTGTTTTCCCAACCATTCCACTCTGAACTTAAAAGGTCGCTAATAAAAATCCTGCCACTTTTACAAACTACTCGGAGGCATGGGAAATAATCAACGATATTCACGCCGTCTTCACGAGATATTTCAGATGAGCAGACTCTATCAGTGCCTGTAAAAGCAGTCAACATGAGAGCAGAAACAGCCTGACGTGGTACAACACTAATAACATGAAAATAATACGAGAGACAAACTCAAACATGAGTCCAGTCAAACGCACTGATGAACGCTGGGATTCTGGCAGCTCTGCTATCGAAAACACCAAACTAAACTAATAACTGCCGTTATTCACAAATCTACTGCTCACAGTAGCTCTCGCACACGTTAAGTGATGTTGTTTCATTTCGATGATATTTCAGTTTACTAATATTTTGGTGACAACACAATGAAATATAAAGGAATGTTTCAGATTCAGTACGACTGAAGCTCTATGGACATCACGAACACTTGTTGACAGTAATGAACCTGCAATGCTCTAAGCTTATGAGGAAAAAGTATTCAAATATAGTTTGTCAAGTGTATGGCGGTGCAAAAAATCGTATGTGATTTTCATGCGCATCTTGTCAGTAAAGCCACTCCTGTGATTAGTAGTAAATCTCCAGCACGTGCTTTCAGATGGAGCGGCATTTACTACACAGAGCCGTAGATCACTGACAAGCTACGCAAAATCGCGTTCATAATCGGCAATGAATCGCTGGCACAGCCCTAGTCAAGTGTAATCTTAATACTTAAGCGTTATACTAGCATGATAATAGTGTGATAAAATGTTCATAAACACATCTGTCACATGTTTTTTCTTTTAAATCAATTTATATACATTTTTCTTAATTGATTTTTTTATCATCAACTAATTTGTTTTATTTACTTGTCTTTATTTATTTGTAAGTATTTAGCTACCACTTTATTATTATTGTTATAATTTTTTTAATTATTTTATTTTATTGTCTTAGTGGGTGAATTTCACAAAGAAATATGCAGGAAATATTTTTTGACCCTAAAATCAATTATAAGTGAAGCCTATTTTTAGGACGATTATTTGTGTGACATTATCTCCATGAAAATCAAGTAAATTTTTTCTGTAATGCAAAAAGGCTGCAAGCATTGTAAATTTCACATAAAATTCGAAACACAAATTCTTTTTACACAGCTGCACATTTCTGCTTTTAAAAGTACATATCTATTTTAAGTACATTACTGTTAACGACATACTTGGTTTGTTTGAAATTATTATCTGACATGAATCGACATGAACCTAAAACATTCCTTTAAAAGGGGAAAAAGTAAAAGATGTTAACTCTATAAATGTAAATCAATCATCTCCAATTAAGCAACTGCCAAACAAATAAAGTGCAAATCTTTCAGAGACTAATGGGAATAACTGCACCGTTATTATACACAGTAAATGTACGTGGCTCCAAACGCTCTTCAGAGAGACACTAACACACAGATGAGATGAACGGACACCAAACTTCAACATTCAACTGGTTTTAAAGTCATGATTTGAGTTGTTACACTAAGACCAATTTATCTCTCATAAGCACACAACTCCCAAGTTTTGTTTGTTTTTTAAAAAAACTTTGATTCTGATCTTTAGAGTATTTTTAATCACTACCATGAAAAACAGCAAGCTCATCTTTTTTGCAATAGTACAAAAATGATCACATCTTGCCAACATTATGGGATATGAACTGTGCAGCAGATGTGCTAGTAGAGCTGTGAGCGCATGGATCCCGCTGCATGCTTTCCAAATGAACCATGCAATTCCCTTGTGCTTGATCAGGGACGCTTTGATTAAACGCTGCACTTCACTAATTGATCAACGTTTCATTTAAAAAAGACCTAAAGACTGCTTATCATTCATACTGAGTGCACTATGTATACTTGCACTAAGTATGTATATATGTACTTATACTTCTAGAGCGCAGAGTGAATATACAAAGTGAAGAAAGATGCGCAGATACATGCTGCTAAATGAGCCATCGTCTCTCCGTAGGAAAGAGGACACGGGAGTCACGATACTGACGGGATGTGGGATATATCTTTGGCTTCAGCCACACATGTCATCACCGGTACATATACAAGATATGCCCAGTGTCCAGAAATGAGATGGAGAAAAAAAAAAAAAAAGGAAAAAAAATGAGATGAAGAAACAGCAATGGCTGCTTCCTAACGATGTATTTCTCTCTCTCTCACACACACACACATTCTAGCGCAGTCCCTGAGCTGCTGACACAAACAGGTCTTTGCTCCTATTGAGCAGGTGAGATAATGCCGTTGAAACAGTCCGCTTTCCTATTGGCTAGGAGCATCTGTAACAGGTGAGCGCTGGAGTTTCACCGGCCCCAGCTACACTGCAGACAATATCATCAAATCGCTGTTGTTTTTTTGCTACTAATAGACATAAAATCACAGGGTGATCAAGCAGAACTGTGTTTTACATCTGTTTAGGGTTGAACCTGCAATTTTTGTGTTAGCAGCCCATTATTTAAAACCATTGGGCTACCACCACCCCATGTTTCTACTTGTTTTTAATCATCAATAAATTTGCCTTATGTGGTGAATGTCATGAAAAAATTGCAGCTAATATTTCACCCTAAAATCAATTACATTAATTATGATATTTTGCATAATATAATTAAGTTCTTTTTTATTATTACCATGACACATTTTTGTACAAAATTATATTACTTATTATTTTAGGACCGTTACAATTTTTGTGCAATGTGATGGTTTTAAACAAGTATATTTTTAGGA